CGGTACCTCAAAATTTGATAGGCCGTCTCAAAGCCACAGTAATACCACCGGAAAATGGTGAAGAATCATCCCTAGCCACATAATGGCTGCATGGAGATGAAGTGAGCTCTTTACTTCTAGACAAAAACAGCAGCAACACGTTATCACGGAGGGCGAACATGTATGTTCTACACACATGGTGTAAATAGAATGAGCTTTGTATAGAAAATATACTTAACCCTTCTAGGCAATGAAGAGCTGGAAACTATCATATTAACATTCTTTAAGCTAAAATGTATAAAAAACGTATAATTTTCTAAGTCGGCATACAGGTCTACTACGAATGGAGTGTACGCGGTACAGAAAGCGCAGAAAGACTAACGGCACTTGGCAAAAAGGTATAGCGTTCACGGACGAGAAGTGCAAGTGAAACACGGCTGAGAAAATATCGCGGTGCCAAGCCAGCTCACAATATTACTTGCTAGGCCACGGGTGTATCAGGGTGGAATGCGCTACAATGCTGCGCTTTGCCTACAATGCGTCTTGAGAACTGATCCTGTTGCCCATTACAACTGCTGTATAAATCTCCCTTTTACTCTCCCATACTGCACTGGCGTAATCTGGTTGCTATGGAACACACAATTTGCATTAAATAAAGGTGTTATATAGCGCCGGTTGTGTCCGTGTCAACCTAGCACATCGAGAGAAGACACGGCGCATTAAGGAGGTGTAAAAACAAAACATGAAAATGCGTTCTTCACATGATCGCATAGCCTGTCCACATTGGACATGTTATATGAATTACAAAAATGTGCAAAGATATACCTATGATATAAGATATACTTTAGGGCTTGTTCATGCCATTGTCTTTGAATTGCATTTTCCCGCACACCGCCATGCTTGTATGGTGTGAACAGGACACATAGAAAGCAATTGTTTTCTATGTGCTCTGTGCACACCAAAGATATAAAGTGGTGTACAGAAGTACACAGCTCAATGGACACGGTATGAGCAAGCCCTTCATCTTTTTCTTTTTTTGACAAGCGCACATATTGGACAGACCCAGGGGAGTTGGCCATTTTGTGAGGTGCAGCCTCATGGCTTGTGTATGATACGTCTGACGGGAGAGGGGCTTCCTCAGCTTACAAAATGGCTTCTGCTGTTGGGTACAGATCACAGGTACACTTTAAAGCTAGGCTATTTACATCTCACAGAAACACAGTGTTTCGGTATCCTCTTCGCTGCACATAAAACATTTTAATCTAGAATGGTTCTTTGCTTGGCTGGCATCAGTTTATTTAATGTATATCTGCAAGAGGAAGGTGGTACAGGGATGTAGAAAATGTTCTTGTCCATACCTGTGATACCTCAATTCACTTTGATAGCTGGACTGCAAGTGGTCCCAGGACCAGCTCTATCTATGGGGAGCTTCCAACACCTAGGCCAAGGTCCAGGCAAGTGGTTGGGGGGTGCAGGGCCATTTGTTTTACACTCTTTCCCTTAAGTGAATCAGGAGTGTCTGACACAGTGATTGGGGAACATGGTTGTAAGTTTCCCTTCCCTTTACTCCTTCATTTTCAGTGTTCCCATTTTAGAAGTTTTATAGTGGAAGTTATTGTATTTGAGGGAAAAAAACAAAAAGTTCCACTTATAATAAGCTAACTTGATGGAAAAAAATAACAAATCTTGTAAACATCCCTTGGTGATGCCGACACCCCCAACTTTCACCTAAAGTGCCATCTGCGTACCATTAATTCAATTCTGTTTATTCTATGATTAAAAAAAATAGTATATATTCTTAAAGGTTCTTTAGGAAAGAGAAAGCTTCCACTCTTGGAAGGGAGCCCAGCTCATTAATTTCCATTGGTGAGCCAAGAAATGTTGTAAACATTGCTCCTTTATCTGAAACCATACATGCTGAGATGGGCCGGTTACTAGAGGAGGTGCAGCCATAGACATTCAGAGAACTCAATAGACATCTAAAGCTATATCATGTTTTAATGTAACTGGACGTGTCTGTATCATGTTCCCCTGTGTTCTTGTATTTTTGTACTTTTGTATATTGCAAAATCGGAATAAAATCTTATTATTTAAAAAAAATGTTTTAATGTAACTACAACAATGTAATTTATTTTATTGTGGAAGAGCCATCCAATTGTCTGCTCCATATGCTAAATTCCACCAATACCAGACGCCTCAGCAAACTGAACATTTCTGAAATTTGTTTTGGGCACAGTTCTTATCCTAAAACCACTCGTGACATAGTCCACCCTGAGTGACTAAGGTCTGATTCTCCCTATACATTGAGTGTGACCATCCACCAAAAGAAAGACCTGCATGGAGACAGAGATATTCTCTGCACAGGTTCATACAATTTTGATGGTTTACTGCAGCCTTGCCCAACCATTTTACCCCAGAGGATCCCTTGAAATAATTTTCAGGCTTCGGGAAACCCCACTAACATTGATTAATTGTGGTCAGAGGGAAAATGCCCCCCCTTTATAGTGGTGGTCAAAATGCCACCCTTACAGACAGCTAAAAAGATCATTGGCTGGCTCTTCCAAGTGGTGCTGGGCACCGAATTATGCAATCACCATTAAATGGGAGGGTCAATCAGCCACAGCTAATGGAACCCCTAGAAACCTCTGGAGGAACCTCGGTTGAGAATGGCGAGTTTACTGCAACCTACCCAATGTGAGTATTATTCTACTCTCCTTTCCTATATGTGCCTATGGAAAAAACAAAAAAAATACAGTATATTAGTGCTCTCCTGTCTCTCTCCCCACTTCCCTTGTTCTCCGTTTCTTCTGTGAGCAACAATAATACAGAAATATCTAAGGTAGCAGCAACACAACCCAAAACCAATCCAGCACAGCTAGTTTCAGAGGACTGGGATGTCACACACCCCCCCGCTTTCACAAAGAAGTTAATGAGCTGAAGGCTATAAAATGATTGAATTGCTTCTGCATGTAGGTGGACAATGCTCATCTCTTTCCTTTAGAATCGCAATAGTGCAAAACTGACAAACATTCCTCTGATATTCTCTCAAGATACAGGAGTATAACAGTGTTTAGTCACTGTACAAATGAGGTAACATAGATCTGTATGATCAATAAAGGGTCCAAGATTTTATACCTATCTACAGACATGCCCATGCACAGATTTGTCCTTGACAGAGACAAGCAAGTCACTTTCTCGATCACCAAACCTGCCTCGGCATTTGAAAGAGAAATATGTGACCAGCCTCAGGAAAGCCAAACAGCCAGAGATATGCGCTTCGCTTACCAGCGTCTGATTTTTAAACCACTTACACATCTCTACAGCTGCTAATCACAATGCTCAAGCAATGATGCATTACAGCAATCTCAAGAGAGATTCTGCCAGAAGCCACTGCAGTCTAAGGATAGACATAAGCCCTACAGGGGGCATCAGAAAGTTCCTGGTGCATCAGATTACATGCAGCTTGCTTGTTCTGGGTCTCTCTGAGATCTTGTCATCATTATCTGCCGTAGGGGAAAAACCAAGTTCAAATAGTTCCAGCCAGGACTAGTGATTACTCTCATTATTCCTTGCATAACCCAAACTATCACTATCAGAAATAAAAGTTAAAAAAAAGTGCGTATTCAGCCTGCCATGGCCCATTTATTCCCAAACAGTAAGAACTGCTGTATCAATTCTGCATACAGTGGGGAACGACTTCTGTTGAGCTTTTATGTTAAATTAGCCCATGAGCGTTCACCCAAAATAGAAATATTGGCTTCACTTCATTAATAAGGTCATTACTTTCCTATCTAAATTCCACCCCTCCTTGCGGTAAGCTCCACCTACTGCAGCTCTGTCCAATGAGAGTGCCCCTGTGGCTATTGAGGGGAGTCATTCTCGATAGGGCTGCAGGTGGCAGATGGAGCTCCACAGGTAGATATTCGAAGCAAACTGCAACCTCATTCAGATGGATGAACAGAAAAGGATCTTGCGTTACATTTTAAAAAGCATTGCAATTGTGATCACTCGATCACGGCTGCAAAGCTCAGGCTTCTGCACAATTTTCATACAGGCAGAGCTCCGTACAGAGTTTCAGTTGAGAGATGGGGGAAGGTCCTTGCTCTAGGTAGATGCGGTAGAGCTGTCCATATTCCCGCATCTACCTAGAGCGAGGGCTGCTGTATGAGGTGATCTAAAAGAAAACTATGGGGCAACCATTTTATCCCATAGTTCTCTTAAGGGTCACGGGAGGACATATACTAACATTCTCCCGTGACCCAAAGCTCAGTACATAGCGGGCTATTGCTCACTATATACCGAGATCGTCGCAGCCGGGACGGATCCCGACAATGCTGTCGAGATCCACCCAGCTGGCTGATCTAGAGGCAGAGCCAGCTTTGCCCGCCCCCTCCCCCGTTCCTCTATTTAAAGCGCTGGAGGATCGGAGAGGGGAACCCTGCGGGGAGCGGTGACTGCCAGTCACGGCTCTCTGCAGGGAGATGATCGGAAAGTGAGCGAGCGACGGTATGTGTTCGCTAACTTCCCGATCTATAGAGCCGATGTGTGACAGTTTTATTGTCACAGGTCGGCTCGAACTATGAGGATAAGTGAAAATCGATCACCTCATACTTCTCCTTTAATGCAGTTTGAAGTCCTGCTGTCCTTCCCCCATCTCTCCTAACTGAAACTCTGTACCTCAGTACGAGCTCTGCCTGGGAGAGAATGTGCAGAAGCCTGATCTTTGCAGCTGTGATCGAGTGATCACAATTGCAATGTTTTCCAGGCTTGAATGCAAATATGAAAGAAATGCATTTTTTATATATATTATTAATTATACATTTCTTTAATTTTTGCAAAAGGTGAACTGATCCTTTAAAGCAGCGGACAGATCCCCTTTATTACAAACTGGAAGCCAAAAAAGCAGCATCATACTATGCCCTTCAACAAGCTAGAACTACAGCTCATGGTCATGTTTCTTGGCTTCTACATCATACAGTAATAATACAGATTGTGAGCATTCTATCTTTTAGTGGTTCACGTTTTGGTATCTGTAGGAAACAGTCCTAATCATTCAAGTAATCCAAATCTCAGCTGGCTATGTAACAGTTATAAGTCCCTGCCTTATGGATCTGATGGAGTGTCTGAATACTGAGAAGCTGAACTAACTCTAAAACACCAGCAGCTGCAGGAGCCCCGGATGGACGGACCGGGACCTGCGGCTTAGTAAACGCAAAGATCTGGGAATTTCATCTCATACACTGGAATGGAATGGTACTGGGCGTGTCCCGCCGTGATGGTTATTGTTCCCGAAGGGCTGGGTGGGGGCCTGAAACAAAACCAAAACAAAAAAAAGTTTTATTAGAACAGAATTTGAAAACTTTTTTTTCCACTTTTGGATAAAGTATGAAAGGGTTAGAAGCTCTGTCAGCTTTTAATTTATGGAACATCTATATCAGGAGGTGCTGGATATGACTTGTCCGTAAGTCCATGGTTGTAGAAAGTCAATTGAGATCATTTAAAGAGCAATAGGTCCGGTGATGCCACCCTCAACAACAACAGAATGCCTCTTATCTCAGGGACTCAAAATGTAAGCTCCACAAGCTAAATATCTAATGAAAGCACCAGACTAAATTATTTTATACACAAATATTAAAATATTTTGTAATCATAGTACTTTGGTCTGACTTTTTACACAAGGTTTTTATTTCACTTTGTGTTTGTGCTGGACAGATCCACTCTCTCTATTTGTTCATTGTGTCTCACTGTTGATCATTGTGACCAGGACTTTACGTGAGGACAAATGCAAATGCCGTCAAGGGTCACATGAGGTTAATACTTCCCCCTCAAGTTTTGAAGAGAAAGCTACCTGATGGTGGCACAGGTAGCCTTCCTTATTTGAGTTTGTGATTCCTACAATGTTAAAAACTAGGAAGTTTATTGCTCGCAAGGGATATCATTGGACTTGGAAGATATACTTCACTTGGCGCAAGTCTTGGCGCTACCACCCCAGGAGTTTCTCTGTGGGACAAATCCTCTCCTTCCTGCTGCTGAATCTTGACTAGCGTAAGGCTCTACACATGATCAAGGGTCAGGTTTCTGCCACTTCAATTCTATTTGGAGACTATTCTTTCTCTTACTTTCTCTCGCTCTTTCATTAAGACCTTGGTACACGGGATCTCACATGCAGCTCCCTCAATCTTTTTGGGTTCTGAATCTAGTTCTCTTTGTGTTTCAGAAGCTACCGCTTGAACCCACTAGAGACATTCCTATCTCTACTCAGCCACTGGGTGGTGTTTCCCGTAGCCATGACCTCTTTGGGGCCAGTGAACTGGCAGCCCTATCCTGCATGAAACCTTTCTGGTTTTGCATAGGGACAAGGTAGTGTTTAGGCCCAGAACTTCCTTCTTGCTGAAGGTATTTTCTGCCTGTCACCTCAACATTGACATTGTTCTTCCATCCCTCTGCCCAGCTCCAGTTCACCAAACTGAAATGTCCTTCCATTGTCTAGATTAGATATGGATTGTGAGAGTATACCTCTGCCTCTTTCAGAAAGAATGATTCCAGGATGGACACTAAGAGGGTGCACCGGCTTCTCCAAGCTTATGGTCTCAAGAATCGGGTTCCACCCTTTCCTGTCAAGACATACTCTATTAGATCTGTTAGCGCTTATTGGTCTTTTTGCTTTCAATCAATTGTTTCTCAGATTTGCAAGGCTGCCTCCTGTTCATATGTTCTCAAAGCTCTAAAGGTGGATGTTTCTGCCTAATCTGATGCCAGCTGAGGGCATAAGGTCCTTCAAGTAGCTTTTTGAGCCGCAGGCAGTGCCCAATTCAGTTTTGTGTCCTGGGTCTCTCAGTGTTTGCCATGTTGCCCACCCCTGATTTGGACTGCTTTAAGACATCCCAAAAGTTAAGACTTCTTGGGTCTCTCAATGGACAAGAAAGCAAACAGTAGTTTTGTACTCACTGTAAGGTCAGTTGTTAGAAAAAACTATTGTAGTGCATTCTGTTTTTATTATTGTTTTCCACAAACACAGTTTGCATTAATTTTCAAGGGCATACGTTTTTAAACAAAACCAGCAATTCCACAATATTAACAGGAACTATTTGGAAAAGGATTCGGCAATGGGCTTCAAAGTGTTACCTTATGGTCAGCTCCAGTATCTGGGCCAGCTTGTCATGTAGCATGTTAGCCTGTGCACAAAGAAAAAAGGATTAGACACAATCACATGACAAAGTCTACTAGAGGACAGGTGAGGCTCTCACAATAGCTATATGCTTTGTCCTTTCATTTGTAAGTATATATCATGTCTCAAAAGAGTGACTTCTCTAATCTAATCCAATTCAGTAACCACAGGGTTTTTTTTTTTACACCAACCCTGTTAAATAAAAAGTTTAATAGGAGTCAACAGGCATCGCACTACTCCATGTTTAGAGCATTGTGATAAATACACCAATAAATAATGATTTTCAGAAGACAGAGATCCACATATATGAAGTTATATCTGTTCTCCGCAAGAATTATATATAACCAGTTCTGGCTCCAGAGTCATTTTTTTGGTGTCCCTTCAAAATACTTCTACCTCTGTGGAAGGCAAGTGTAACTTTATCATGGCTCTTGATACTTCATCAAGTTCCCAAAAGTTGTGCCAGCATTTGCTAGAAAGCACCTAGTCTGTTCTGTGTGTGGGTGTAAATGGCGTTGCACTAATAAAGTAATATTGGCTCCACGGCCACCCTGAACTGAAGGAACAGGTCAGCGGTACAGACTCACTTTGGATTCACACTGTGCAGCAATTTCCTCAAATGGTGCTTTCTGGAACTTTTCTATGACCAGGCGTCTCTTCTCTTTTTCCTGCTCTTCCATTCCCGTATTCTCTGGAAGAGACATAAAAACATGATATAGCAAAGACTCCACTTTTTATATACCTAGGCTTCAATATTTTCTAAAATGTGTTTAGTGAAAGATTCTGATTTCACAGTTGAGAGAATCTCTTTACTCAGACCATGCTGCTTCTGCATTGCTACAAATACTCAGACATGTATATACAGTGTGTATATATAGCCAACAGACTTTTATTGTTTTTTTTAGTGGGGAAGGATCCGAACCCGTCAGGTTATTACTGCAGTGTGTACCTGCTGGGGAGATTCACCCTCTCTATTTGTCCTGGTGACTATGGTCACTGTGGAGGAGAGTGATGGTTAACCCTTTCATGACTCAGGCCTTTTTTTCATTTTCTGCACCCATGTTATATCTCTAATTTTAGGCCTGAAAATTACTTAAAACCCCCAAACATTATATATTTTCTGAATGCCAAGACCCTATAGAATAAAATGGTGGTAGTTGCAAATTTTTATGTTGCGCAATATTAGCGCAACTCCTTATTAAACCCCAACATTTAGTGAAAAATTTAATTAAATGCCCCAAAACACAACAAAATACCCATTTTTTAAATGACATATAAAAGATGAGGTTACAACGAGTAAAACGATACCCAACATGCATAGGTTACAAATTGCGTGCGTCCGTGAAACGGCGAAAAACTGCAGTACCCCAAAAAGTCAATAGAAGACGCTTTAAAAGCCCCCACAGGTCATCAATTTAGAGATACCCCAAAATACTGGCCCTAGAATTATTGCTCTCACTCCGGCGTGCGCGGCGATACCCAACATGTGTAGCGCGTTCGTCGTTTTCATACGTAGGTGCACCCAACGCGTGTTTACGTGGCGACGCGCGTCCTCACGGGGGACTTTTACATTTTGTTTTTTATATTTTTTCTTTTTCTTTGACTGCTATCACATAGGGGGGCTTACAAGCCCCCCCATGTGATAGCAGATGGTGGTGACAGGTACTCTTTAAGGTGATGCTGGGGGTCCAAAAGACCCCCAGTGTCAGCTTTACACTGGAAATAAGCTATTGAAGTGCAGATCGCACTTCAATAGCTTATAGCTGGGCTGCAGGAGCCCAGAACTGACAGCCCAGGGACCGGAAGTGATGCAATCTGTCGGCTTTACAAGTTTAAACAGAGTCCCGGCGAGTCTGTTTAAACAGCCCCGATGCTGGCGACAGTCACGAAGGGGTTAATCTTCAAATCTTACAGTTGTCACCAGAACAAGTGGTGAGGGCAAATCTTCCAACTGGGATGCCTGATCAGGTCACAATTGCATAAGAGGGGAATTACACTCACTTTGGTTGTCACTTGCTTTCTGTTGCATCTCCAGGATGGGAAGTTAACGGAACCACAGGATACAAAACGGCAAATAATAATCTGGCAAATGTTTCCACCATTATCCACACTACCCACTTAAGGGAGAACTATGGGGTGAGGTTTTTTTTCCATAGTCCTCTTTTGGGTCACGGGAGGACATATACTACGTCCGATATATGCCGAGAGCGCTGCAGCTGGGACGGATCCCGACAATACTGTTGAGATCCACCCAGTCGGCTGATTGACAGCTGCCTCTGCCTATCCAGAGGCAAATCCAGCTATGCCCGCCCCCTCCCCTTTCTGTTCCTCCAGTCAGCGCTGGACGATTGGCGAGGGGGGAATCTCTGCAGGGAGCAGTGACGGAGAGTCTGCAGGGAGATGATTGGGAAGTGAGCGTATCGGCGGTATGATTTTGCTCACTTGCCGATCAATAGAGCCAACGTGCAACAGTTTCAATGACACACGCTGGCTCTAACTATGAGGATGAGTGTAAATCACTCACTCCATAGTTCTCCTTTAAAGGATGTACTGTCCTGTCAATCAGCCTTGTAGGCAGAGAAAAGTCAATATCAGCACTTCCAATGCCCACAGTACAGCACTGAAAAATATATTATAATGCAATTACTGTGGTGCCACCGATACGGATCAGAAAAACCCAGCTTAGGGCTAAGATTTAGTACCTGATGTATGAAGCATGGGTGCAAGACAATAATATAAGAAAAAAAACAAAAAACACAATGTCTCGATCCCCATTTTAAATAATACAGATTTCTGAAATGTACCAGTTCTCAGCCTGCGACAATTGTATACACACCCTCTACTACGCGCTCTAATGGTGGTTTGTACGCGCAGAAGAGGCGAACTTACCTATGGCCTTCTTCAATGATTCAAATGTAATCTCTTCAGTGTTCACCTATTTAAAAAAAAGGCCGTTAGGGAAACTGTAAAATGTATCATGTTGGCAAACTATTCTAATACAGATTATACCACTGTAAGAAGATTCAAAGTACAACTAGGGGAGTCAATAATAGAGAAGGATCTGGTGGACCACAGACTCAATAATAGCATGTAATGTCAAGCAGCAGTTTCTAAAGCAAACAAAATACTTTCTTGTATATAAAAGGGGTGTAGAGTCCAGATAAAGACATAATCTGCCCCTGTACCTAGTATTAGTAAGACCTCATCTGGAATATGCAGATCAGTTGTGAGCACCAGTTCACAAAAAGGATGTTGTAGATGTGTAGAGAGTGCAGAAAAGGGCAACTAACCAGATAAGACTCATGGAGGTGCTCAGCTATGAGGAGCGATTAGATGAACTGAATTTGTTCTCCCTACGGAAGACGCAATTAAAGTGGCATAATCACCATGTATAAATACATAAACAGTCCATACAGTGAACTTGGTGCAAGTTTAAAATGACTTTAAAGTCACTGCAAAAGGACAAGAGAGGCACTCTGGGCATCAGGAGGAAAAGAGGTTGAACCTCCGAATATGGAAAGGCTTCTAAGAGCTCTATCATTTGGAATAGACACCCTCATGAACTAGGTCTAGCTTGCTCAGATGACCGTTTAGAAAAGAAAAAAAAAGGATGCTTTCCTAAAATAACAGAATACAGCTGGCTATTAACAGAAGTAATATCATGATCCAGGCATGCCTTAGGGATAAGGAAAATAATGTTTCCCCTGTTGGTGCATGCTTTATAAAGGGATTATTTTTGCCTTCCCTTGGATCAACTATGGGTATAGGGTTTTGTTGGGGTTTTCAATGTATTTATAATTTCTTTTCCGATTGGTTGAACTCGATGGACTTGTGTCTTTTTTTCACCCATGTCAAGTATTTATTTAGGTGGCATTAATAATGCATGGTTTTCAAGCTTCAAGGAAGTTAAAATGGAATTCAAGTCAAGCTTTTTAAAAATTTAGATAAAGGTAGAGAAGGGTTAGATTCTCTATCAAGGTTATATAGCAGTCTGTGACCCCAACTAGAGAGATGCCACCACACTTAAACCCCTCGAGCATTGAAATGAGCTCAGTCTCATTTTACTTCCAGAGTGTATTTCTATATATTCCTATGGAGAATCCAATGGAAAGCCATTAACACCATCGCCAGCCCCAAACAGGTTCTCCAAAGGATTTGCATCCAATCTCTGGGTTGCTCGAGACAGGAAATGAATTGAAATATCTCCAAAATGGGACACAGCCAGGAACACAAACCTGAAAAGAAATAAGCCACAGGGGCTCTGGTGTGCTTCTAATTATGAACTATATCCTGCACTGACTTACCCAACAAAGCTGAATTCACGAAAACAGCAAAACGCAAAAGGTGAAATGCATATATGTGAAATGTTTCACATGCCAAAGAATTTGTATCTCAGTGCATCCAGTCCTGAGATTTACACAACCCTGTTAGACAGCGCAAGGAACCTGGAGACCTGACTTCTTTCAGTAATTGTTAAATAATGCAACTAGGTTTTCATCTTCCACCAGCCTATGGCTGGGCAGTGAAAGGAGAAGCAGCGGAACTGAACAATTCTTCTCTGTCCTTGAACTGCTGCACACCTGACTGGGGCTCTTTGTGCTGCTTCTCTTTCCCTCTCTCTGAGCTTGGCTGTACAGGGACTGCAAGAGGCTGATACCAGGTCAAATCTGGGTAATTTCACTGCTTCCATTTAAAAACATACATTTAATGATGCATTAATGACTACAGAACTTCATTACTTTGTGTCTTTTCTATCTGCGTTAATCTTATCTCTAATACCTACAGCAAACCTAAAACAAGAGTACGCACTTCCTCTAGGTATTTTAATAGTAGTTACCTTGTCCTCTGAGTTGCTCCCAGTCATCATGTCCACCTGGATGGATATGGTGTCCACTATGCTCTTCCTTCTGGATAATCGGTCTTCATCTATTGGAATAAAACACAGTCAGCACGGCAACTATGTAAGCTCTGGGATGTGTATTTCAGCAGCTGCCAGTGAACCTGTTCTTTCAGCCTAAGACAACAGCAAAATTAATTTGTGTGCTCATGGAAGAAATTAATATAAATGACAAGGATTGAATGTGAACCCATATGAAGAGGTGAACACCTACAGACCTGCCAAACAGAGTACAGAGTAAAAATGTTGAACTTGATAGACTTTTGGTTGAACTCAATGGACCTCTGTCCTTTTTTTTAACCTAACTGCATAAAGTAACATACAAGAAATGATGGGAATGCTGGCTTCATACCTGTAGTTAAACAATCTTGTATTGTAATAACGGTATACAGATCCATAAAGACATCATTTGCGACGTTGGGTGTGGAGGAACTTGATTGGTCTATACAAAGCCCTGACCTCAACCCTGTTGAACATCTTTGGGAATCCTAATGATCACTTTGCCGCTTTTGGAATAAAAATCGCAAGCAGTGTTATCGGCTATGTCCAGGTCACTTTTGTGGCATAAAGAACACCTCCCCTAAAGAATAGGATTGGTTGCCATGAGCTAACATTTCATTAATTCTTTTTATTAACAGATAAATCTGATAATTAGACTTCTGATTATTGAAGCCATTCCAGTGAAAGAGGAACTAGCTTTGGTTGCTGTGGATTACTGAACTTTGTCTACACAACACTGTCTTAGTGAATAAGCTTGATAGTTTTTAAAACCAAGAAAGCTGCTATAGTAAATCGGGACAGGTCTGCCCAAAGGCATTGGTTTATTAAAAGTGTCTGAGACGTCAATGGGAATCTATTGGCTCTGCTATCATCCAAGGCCAAGGCAGAGGTTGCCCAGGGATATTCTGAACAATGGTACCACCTATGACGGCTTCCCACCAAATTACATCATAAAATGAATGCGTACGGTTAAGCCTTTCTAAAGTGATACTAAACTCAGGAGTTAAATCTTAAAAATACATTCAAGTACCTTAACTATTAACAAAAATGTATCTTCTTTGTGTACCACTTGGCTGTAAATCCTCCAATCATCTCTTAATTGGTGCCGACACTGTCCTTCCTTCTGGTGGGTGGCTACTTTTGTTCCCCATGGTCCCTGTGTGTGTTGTAAAGTAGTCACCGCTCCAAGCTCACTCCTGTGATGGACTACAATCTCAATACAAATTAGTAAACTAAACAGGAGATTGTAGTCCAGAATGGGAACAAAACCTGGAGCAGTGGCTACTTTACAGCACACACAAGGACCACGGGGAAGAAAAGTAGTCCCCCTCCTGAAGGAAGGACAGTGTCAGCACCAAATCAGAGATGATTTAAGGATTTTCAGCCGAGAGATACACAAATAAAATACATGTTTGTTAACAGTTAGGGTACCTGAATGCATTTTTAAGACAACTCCTGAGTTTAATGTCATTTAAAAACAGAAGGTATATATTCACATGTTTTAGATTCTGCTCTAAGAAGTGGCATAAAGAACACCTCCACCCTTTTGAATATGAGGCAAGGGGAAGGAGTAGTCCAAATCAAGAGAGCATCCTATGGTGACAATGCTGCTCTTCCATAGATACAGTATGTGGAGTGTTGTCATCCTGGGAAAAAAGTGTGCTACTGGCAAGATCAACAGGTGAAAAAAAAGCCACCACATCAAAAGGACTGGTAAGCTGAAATATATATTCTATTTAGTTTCTGGCTTTAGATACAATTCAGACTGAAGTGTGCATTTAAAGCTACATATGAAGATAAAATATTCAAAACTGATGAGTTTGGCTCATCAATTATGAGACTGCAATTCTACAACTTAGACAATTTTTAAATCTTCATCGCCTGAGATGAAAAATCAAACAATGCTGGAGCACCACTTGGCAAACCAGATTAAACCCACATTAGTATACTATTGTACAACTGTAATGTTACCACCGACAGCTTCTACTTACCAAACACTGTTCTGCAAGATTACAGTGGAGCAAGCATGGTCAGAGACTGGAAACAGTACCATATGACTCTACATGAACCAGTAGACTTACCAACCAGAACAAAAACAACCAGTTTAACAAAATGTAAAAATGGAGAACCTTTTAAATTTCTTACAGCAAAGGGGAAAAAATTATTTCCGACTCAGTCAAACAGGGCAATTTAGCGCATCAAAAACACTTCATGTGTACTCGTGTACAGGAATGCAACAGGATCATTTCCAAATGACCCTTTTACCATAAAGATACAGTATTAAAAGCCACCCTATAAAAGAAGACCGATACTTACCTTTCTGGCTGGTGGTAGGTTAAATCTTTATTCTTTTGAAGAGCGAATAGTGGTGATGCTATACGACACTCCTAGGTGTGCCATATAGCGTGTCCCCGGCTGGACGCAGAGGTTGCTCTCCAGGCCAAGCCAATCCCAGATGGAGCTTTCACAGGACTAAGGACTCTCTCCACACCCCCATGTGACCGGTGTTGGCACCTGAGTGACCAATTGCCAAACACCAGTGTTGTCACTTGGAAGTTCTGGGCATTTTCCATTGTTCCCTGCAGCCAGCAGAGTGGCACGGCACTGCATAAGTAAATCTGTTTGCCTTCAAGTTTAGTGAATTCCTACATGCGGCATACTTCATCAGTAGAGGTAATAAGGTGGTGTCCATTCTTCAAGCCAACAAAACACAGTTTGTGTCATTGGCCTTAACAAAGGGGAACAAGTTGCACACAAAAGTCACAAAATATCTGGATGCTCCAGTTCCACAAGATCCAAAAACCAAAACAAAAAATCTGTCAGAAAGTGCAAAGAGTGTGAGCAAGCAACACTAGCTGATAATAGATCACACAGCCAATTTCATTGGCAGAAATGGTGGAAGATCACACTACTTAATGATGTGGTAGCAGAGAAGTTACATGGCCGTTTCCATGTGGCAGTAGGTAAGGGGTTTACACCGGGCGTCTATGTGGCAGTAGGTAAGAAGACACATGGCACCACAAACAACTTTATAAAGGACACACTATTTTTATATATTCAATGAGGTTATAAAGTACTTTTATTAATAAGGATAATCATTTTTTATATATTCAATGAGGTTATAAAGTACTTTTATTAATAAGGATAATCATTTTTTATATATTCAATGAGGGTGTAAAGTTGTTTGTGGCGCTCGTATCTACTATTTTTCTTCTTCTCGATATATAATGGATATGACTTGGTGGGAGCATCTGCTCGTAATATTTAAGGGACTGCAACTCCCCTCCTAAGTTTACTATATAGGTTTGGGACCCCATTGGTCTTATGAGTAATATATTAAGAAATCACATGGCCCCTTCTATGTGGCAGTAGATAAGATGTCAGATTAGCCCTTCCATGTGGCAGTATGTAAGAAGTCACATGGCCCCTTCTATGTGGCAGTAGGTAAGATGTCACATTATCCCTTCCATGTGGCAGTATGTAAGACGTCACATGGTCCCTTCTATGTTGCTGTTGGTGATGGTTCATATGGCTCTTTCTGTGTAGCAGTAAGTAGGGTTCACATGGCACTTTCCTGTAGGAGTAGATAAACACATGAACCATTATATGTGGCAGTAGGTGAGGGTTCATATGGGCCTTGTCATGTGGCAGTAACTGAGGGTTCACATGACCCCTTCCCATGCAGGGACTACAGGAAGGATCACATGAACCATTCCATGTGGCAGCAGGTGAGAACTCACACCTTTTGCATGTGGTAACAAGTGAGAGCTCACATGGTCTTTTCTCTGTGAGATCACATGATGCCATTACACATGCCAGTTGGGGAGATGAAATTATCCATAACTTAGGGCAAAACGTGAAACAGAACGGGACCCATTCTATGTGTCAGGTGAAGATAGATTGCATTGCACATTATAGGCTTCAGCACATCCACCAGCTGCTGATCAGTGGTCAGGACATGTGCCAGCCACATGCCCAAAATAATGTGTGGCACGTCCTATAAATCACTCCTAAAAGGTTTTGACTACGTGATGGGACTCATATATCCAGAAGCTTGATAGCTATTACTTGCCACATTACTTGCCATTTCTAGTTGATACAGAAACAGTACCCACATTTATACAGCCTGGGTCTTAACTAGCTGCTTAAGGAGCAAGTTATCTCTGCAGTTAAAAAAAAAAAAAAAAGTGAGCTGCACTGTGGTATACCATGATCCCAAAAACATTTTTGGTAGTTTATACATGGGCCTCCCAGTCTGCATCAGCTGGAGCGAGAAGTACAAAGAAAATTGGAGATGAGAAACCTAGGGGAATTAAAAGGAATTGCAAAAATTAAGATGTAAAAATAGGTTACAGGTGGAACATGCCATAAAAGGTGACTTGCAGTTTAAAAGGTCAAGTCCCAGCAAGCGGACGCAGGTACCGCCATCCCGCCTGTAGAGCCGAGACTTGCCTAGAGCCGCTTCCAGGGCAGAATGATTACAACCTGCTGTAAAATAACCATGTTTCATCTCACAGCAAAAAGAAGAAAATGTCCCTTTGAAAATTAATGATTTCATATTGCGCTTTCATGATTACACATTCAATAATTCACGCTGCCTCGATCCATTCCGGGTAAAGCTGAAATAATGTCTCTGCTTTCTTCGGAGACGCAATGTTTCACAGTGAAAGGCAGACGTGATTGAAAATGTTGAACTAAAAAAAATGGATTCCTGATTTAAAACATTCCAGAAAACTGAAAGCAGAACTCTTAAAATACGTGCCCGGCCTTACCTGGCAGAAAATGTTTTATTCTGTTCAGCCAATCCTGTAATTCACATACCCTTACCACAGCATTATCAAATAAACACCGCTATTCCTCAAGGCTTCATTTACATAAAGCGTTTGCTTTATTTAAATGCAACAATGAACTTCGCTTATTTGCTCCCCTTTGGGCTGATAAATATGCAATTGAAAGTGTACTAGGGAACAGGTTTCCCACTTTGGGAATGTTTATTTATTACAGATATTTATATAGCGCCGACAATTTATGTAGCGATTTACATGCTGTAGTCCTGAGTGGAGTCCGGGAGGAAACCAGGAGTACCCCGAGTGGAGTCCGGGAGGAAACCAGGAGTACCCCGAGTGGAGTCCAGGAGGAAACCAGGAGTACCCCCGAGTGGAGTCCGGGAGGAAACCAGGAGTACCCCGAGTGGAGTCCAGGAGGAAACCAGGAGTACCTGGAGGAAACCCATGCAAAGCAGTAATGCAAAATCCATGCAGGAGATCCCAAATGCTAACCACTAAGCCACTGGGCTGCCCCTTGCTTGGCTACACACTGTAAAAGGGATAAATGAATCACAAGATTGGCTTAGCAGATTTTTGATTCCATAGTTAGGTATAATTGTACACATTTAAGGTATGCATTTTAACTTCATATTAAGCAGTTTTCCTGGGGTCCAGATTGAACTCTGAGGGCAATAAGGACAAAAAGAAATGCTATTTTCTACCATTCTAGACAAACTACGGATTCTTAGTGACTACAGAGCTAGATTAGTATTGTTCTCTGCGTATTACTAGTCTCAACGCACTACATACGCCAACACAAAACTTTAAAGTCATGATACAATGGGGGAAAGGGCTATGCTAGTTCAGTCTAGGAGGCTGAGCCGGGTTACCTTTTGATTCGCATGGACTTTTACGTACTTTTTGGAGTGATGGAAAGAGAGCTACATTGAAAAGTGGAGAGAACAGTTTGGTAAAAACACACATCCGGTGGATTAAAGGGTCAGTCCACACAAAACTGATATTTAACCATTTTATTAGATGACAGAATTTCACCGCCATGGTTCTAATGTCAAATCAGGGACTCCAGCGAAGAGACATAAGCATTGGAGTTCGCAGCCGTGGACACATGCAGTGGCCATCAAAAGAGCGTCTCAATCCCTCTGTGGGAATTTGTTATTCTATTTTATGCCATAGAAGGAGGAACTGAAATGGCTGGAAACTGATCTGTTGTAAGAATAGTGAGACTCCAAGATGGCCGGGAACATGGATGTAAGCTACGGCAGAGACCTCCCAATGCTGGAGCCCCAAAGTGATATGAGAAGCCAAGGGGAACGCAAATCTATAACCCAAGTATAGTTGGGTTGGTCCCTTAAATGACTGGTTATCGCTAAGAGATAAGAACACGTATAAGTAAAAGGCAAAAGTAAAATACAAATATTCATAAAAATATACAATATATTAATACATTTCATTAAGAAAGAACTACAGTCTAAGTAAAAAGTGGGATATTGATTAGAAGGGAGGACAACTGAAATAATACATTTAATTAATGAATTACATGATTCTTCTAAACACTAATTACATCAAAAACCAGCAAAACATCCAATTCTATGATAAAATTCATTCATCTATTCGTCTTATGTGGTTGCCATGCTTATACATACACACATACAGTATATACATATACAGATAGACACGCTTCGGGATACATTCCAGAAAATCCATCGTAACCCGAAAATATCACAAACCGAGTAGTTTACTGTAGTGTATTGTACTGCCGCAGTTGGCAGCAGACAGTACACAATGGGAACCAATAGCAAGACTGCTATTGGCTATTTCAAATTGCTATAGCCAATAGCAGGCTGGCGATTAAATCCCCACCCACTAAGAGGAGGAGTGGGCCTGAGAGAGAAAGTTCTCTCTCAGGTCCGCTCCTCTGCTCAGTGGCTGGGTGCAATAGCCAGCCTGCTATTGGCTATGGCAATTTGAAATAGCCAAGAGCAGTCTTGCTATTGATATCTCATATAAGGGATTGGACCATATGAATATTCTCCGTCCTTCCAGCTTCAGAGGTTAAAACAGTTGCTGTATATTTAGCTCAGTATACAGTAAAACCAAAGGAAAGCATATAATACACCAGGGCTAGGTGAACGCCTGCCCTCCAGCTGTGGTGAAACTATCAGTCCCATCGTGCATCTGCCTCATGAGACTTGTAGTTGCACCACAGCTGGAGGGCTGGCGTTGTTCAATCACAGGCTGAGGGTGGGGAGGTGACCTAGCTGTTTTATGTAACTGCAGCAGAGAAAAGTGAGGTCACCAGGCTGGCTGTGTTATGTGGCAGAGTGGTGTAAGTCTCAGGACTGCAAATATAAATGCTTTAGCAGGCAAGAAAGTTCCCAAATATCTATTTTAACTGTGTCCCTTGGAGTTTAGCATTAACATAGCATGCATATTGAACCATTCATAGGAGTCACTTAGCACATGTCAGAACCGCTTGCTCAGCATTTACATTGAATACCAGCGTGAATGGAGCCTACATGTGGTTTACTGGCTCTAGTCTTAACTTAATAATATCTGTAATCAAGAAGTTTTCATATTCCTGGATCGGTCCGCCTTTATTTCTTCTGATACAACTCAGCAAGAGACAAACTGATTGTAAAAAAAAATCATATCTAGCTGTGTGCCTGCACCCAGTCCCTTTAAATACTCCATAACACGGGCTAACGACGATACCTCACTGACCCGCCAGAAAATGTCTTCATATTTCAGGAAAGTATTCTAATCTGCAGGCTATTCTTTTCCCTTATGGCTATTCTGTAGGCATGGAAACGCCATAAAAAGTTTGTATTCCCAGAAGGCGATGTCGATTTTCTAAAACTGAAACGGGGATAGAGTATGTGGCCAGTCAAAGCTCTGCCTGGATAAAGCTGTACACTCTTCCATAGAACCCTAAGGCAGGAACAAGTCTTACCTGTCACTTGGGGCACATAGGTGACAGACAGTCTCTCCACGCTGTAACCACTGCCGCCCAGGGATTCCGCAATTTTGTTGGTCAGGAAGTAGACGCTCTTATCGTGCTTTTCTAGAGACTTGGGAAGGCTGTACACAGAAAGAAGAACGGTATCCATTAGTTAAGGTGCACATAATCCAATTACATAAACAATAATATTATATAC